TGCTAAAGAGCTAAGTATTAGATATCAAGGATGCAACCCGCAAACAAGATAACACCTGAAACTTCATGAGCGTGGCGCTGATCATGTTCTTATGCAATGATTGTTAATTGCGCTGAGTCTAAATACAAAATGTTACGGTAAATTTTGTCGCGAGGCGAAAAATTTGCCCGCGAATAAACAGGGACTGAAAGAAGAAGAGAGGAAAGAGGCTACAACGGAGAAAGACAACTACAAAAAATAGGTGCTTGGAATTCTTGGCTGAACGAACTGTATACCTTGTTTACTACTTCGTTCCTTGCGGTTAGTGGATCGGAGTTTGCTGGCGAAAAGTCTGTTAATTGCGCTGTAGACATCTGACGTTAGCGGAGTGTTCAAGAATAAAGTCGAGGAGAAGTCTCTCTTTTAAATAATTGCAAACAATGAAATGCCATTTCTACAAAGAATTTTTTCATTACCAGAACGATACTTTCAAAGTTGAAGATCCAGTTGAATCGTTGTACATCGTTAATTCTGTGTTCAACGCCTTCTCAGCCTACTCCGCCATCATGCTGAACATTTTATCAATCCACTCGATAAGAAAGACTTCGTCGTTACCAAAGCCTTTAAAAACATTGCTTCTGAGTCTTGCTGCTTCTGATCTTGGTGTTGGTTTACTGGTTCAGCCTTTGTACATCACACTGCTACTCGCTGAAAACAGTCAAAACTGTGCCATGCCGACAGTATCTTTTATTATCATTTGGTTTTTTGCTAATGCTTCGTTCCTTGGTATTCTGGCTATAAGTGTGGACAGATTCTTGGCTATTCATCTTCATCTCAGGTATCAGGAACTTGTGACTCACAAGCGAGTTGTTGCTGGGGTGATCTTCATTTGGGTTTTTAGCGCATTTCTATCGTTACTTGATTTTTGGATGGCAAGTGCTCAAAATGTCACCTTTGAAGTATTCGTCACTATCTTCTTCGGTCTTTGTTTCATTTGTACAACTGTTGTCTATTGTAGAATTTATCTCACTGCACGACGCCACATAAATGAAATTCAATCAATGCATGTACAAGCGGTAGCACAGAATGGTGAACTGGGGAATGTCACGAGGCAGAGAAAATCATCTCTCGGAACATTTTACGTATATCTTGTGTTTTTGGCTTGTCATTTGCCAGAGTATTGCATTTTTGTTGCAAGTAATACAATCTCTGAACCAAGTACTATTCTAAAGGGCCTTGTGCCGTGCGCGTGGACCTTGGTGTTTTTAAATTCATCTTTAAACCCTCTGGTTTACTGCTGGAAGATGAGACAAATTCGGCACACCATTTTGGACACATTGCGAAACGCATTTTTAAAAGCAACAACTGAGAAAAGCATCGAGTAACTGAGTATAGAAATTTAATAATATTGCTTCTTATACCTCACCGAGAGATTATCTCATGACCACACTCGATATAATTAACTGAGTCTGACTTATCAATGGCAGTTTCTGTGGTAACGAACAGAATGATAATGAATGTATTTCCTATCTCTATTGACGTCAACTCAACAATAATATTCTCTGACATGCGTTTTTGCTGTTTCTTTAAGAACGTGAGGTATTTAATAGTAGATATGAAAGGGAAAATAAGTATTTTTAAATCAGTTACTCACTGTAAGGTATAATACAACTGATAATAAATCAAGAAATATAAGAGGAACCACGAGGTGTTTGTTTCGAGGTTTTTTTTTTTTTTTTAATTTCTATAATTATCAAAAATTAATTATCGTTCAATTTCCTTGTTGTCTGTTTTCAACCACAGTTAATAGAAATAAATGGTTAGGAAACCTGGCAAAGTTCTTTGCTTTATGTTTTTGTGCGTTATTTTGGGGTTTGACCCCGCACACAACCTGCCAAAACACAAAAGATGGTTGTACGTGCTCATTCAACTAACCAGTAGAAGCATTGAGATTACGTAATCATGCATAGTCACGAGCACAACACAAACGATGTGCAAGGGGCAAGGACCTTCTAACATAAATCTCAACCTGTTTGCTTGCTTCTTTGATGTTTACGGGCTTTCCTAACCATTTCCCTCTATTAACTGTGTTTCAGCCGAATATTTGAAAAGACATGCACCTGCACCAGCACTTCGTGGCGGGATGGGTAGCCTTTGCCATGTATAAATGTAAATGTGAATAAAGTCCTTTCTAGAAAAGAATAATACCTTTTTCAATTCAAAATATGGATTTAGAGAGAATTGTTCGACCCCACGTGCGATCTTGGACATCCTGAACAAAATTCGAAACAATGTGGATGTAAAATTATTTTCATGCAGTATTGTTGTCGATCTGAAAAAGGCATTTGACACAACCGACCACTCGATACCGGTATACAAATTGCATCATTATGGATCAGAGGAACAATTAACGACTGGTTTGTTTTGTCATATCTGTCAAGCGGAACACAATCAAGTCAAACTGGCTCTATTGTTTCTAAGAAAGAAAATCTAGTTTGCGGTGTCACTCAAGGTTCCCTGCTTGGTCCGTTGCTCGTTCTAATCACTGTTAATGACATGCATCGTTCCTCTCCAAAATTTAATTTTTATCTGTTTGATGATGAGACCAATCTGCTATGCGCAGAGATAGATTTAAGAAAGCTCGAAATTAGCGTTAATCAGGAATTGTCGAAACTGCGTGACTGGCTAGATCGCAACAAATCATTCCTTAACCCAAGCCAATCTAACTTCGTTATCTTTCATCCTTTTCAGCCTAAACTGGACTACGAATTAAAAGTTATAACATAAAAATATTTGACAATAATCCCAAGCAACTGGTAACTCTCGATCGCAAAACTTATGTGAACCATCTAGGAATATTTCATTGACAATAATCTTTCCTTCAAGTGTTACATTGATTACATCTCATCAAAAAAAAAGCAGTACAATACAACACAATACAATACAATAATACAATACAATACAATACTTTATTCAAGAGATCTAGATACAGATAATATGCATATGTTAAAAAAAAAACCTCTTGAAACGGTAATAATGAGGTTAGCCATATACGTGACAATTTTCATAAATAAAACGCGTAAATGACGTGTACAATGCAAGAACTACTTACAAGCCAAAATGCAATTTTAGTTAGTTTCCAGGTCAACAATTGTAAAACATGTTTACATGGTAAATTAAAAAATATTCTAAAATTTGCTACTTAACGTCCATAAAGGTATTCGGTCTTGATCTAAACAGAGTCAGTGATCCAGCGTGTACAACTTCACTAGGCAGACTATTCCATGCATTAATTGTACGGACAAAGAACGAATTCTCACAGTAAGGGAATTGGCATTATTGCTAGACTAAGAGATCTTGTAGAATTTACTACTCTCCTATCTATCGCTCGTTAATCGAACCGTACATTTCCTATGGTCTCATTGCTTGGGGCCAAGCCGCAAATGCTCATCCCAAGAAAATTGCTATTCTACAGAAGCATGCAGTCCGAATTGATGCATTCTTGGATTGCAAAACTCACAGCGCTCCTCTCTTTGTTAGCTCAGGAATTCTTCTGAAATAAATGCTCTATTGCAAATCGGTTGCCTGTTTATCACAAGGTGTTTGCCGGTAACCTACACCTTTTTTAGGTTCACTTGCTTTAATTATAATGAACCATTTTCCCGAACTAAAAACTGTCGTAAGAGTAACGTGGGCGGTCAGTTGAGGCTTGTTACAAGCTAACATGTTCTTTTTCCTTTAACGAATAGCTGTACAGCTAGCTGTTATTTCTAAGGTATTTGTTGTTGTGACAAAACTGGCGTTGTTTCGTTTGGGTCTATGCACAGCTCAGGTCAGCAAACAGCAACGTACCGAGGAGCGCACAGATTGTTAGTAACAATAACAATAATGAATGTTAGCCCAGCCCAGAAATTAAATAGATCGTTGCCAATTTTCGTGGGATCCGAGTAAGCGCCTGGTTTCTTAGAACATAAAAAAATTTGCGTAGTAGACGTAGTAGAATTAATTCTTAGTTTCTTCGAGAATCTGACCTGAATGAGCACAATTGTAAACAATGTTTATTTGAACTCTTTCTTGCCTAATTTTTGAGTACTGAGCTAACAAATGGAAGCTCTCGCACAAATTGATTAGCCCTCGATTACTGAGACCATGATTTTAACGAGCAGTATTCGAGTATATCAAATACTCAGAGCGATTTGAAATTTTATTTAATGAGCAGTATTACAGTATATAAAGTAACTTTTTTGCTCCGAGTAATTAAATTTACTGCATGACCGGGAGAAATTTGGAAAACCTGTGTCTTGAACATTGTTTGAGCATATTGAGTACTCTATATCGAGTCGTTAAAAGTTACTCAAGCAATTTTGTCTTCTACTTATACCACTTGAAAATGTTTGTTTACAAACCCGTCGTTTTGAGTAATTCGAAGCCGCAGCTTAAAACATGCACATGTTTGACCTGTATCTTTCAAGGCGTGTTTGCCATTTTGAATCATCCAATCGTTTGACGGATTTGACAATGACGTCAGTGCTTTGTCATTGGCTCGCAGTCAAGTCTTTTCGTTATATAAGCACGACACTACCCGGATGGTTGGGCGGCTTGTTAACTCCAGTACAACACACACATCTCTCTGAAACACTCATGTAATATTCAAACAATACCACTTACATGTATAATGCTCCCTTGGGTATGTTCCTTCAAATCCCTACACGGCCTGCTTCTCATTAATATCCCACTCATACCTTAATTACCAGCATCTCATTAAATCGGTTCCTATCACATTAATTCAATTTTTAACGCTTCATGTAGAACCAGGAGCATCGTCTATACTACTCTAACAATCAAATCGATCACAGACCAGAAAGGCATGGTAAAATTGAAGTGCAATTCTAACAATCAAATCTAACAATCAAATCGATCACAGACCAGAAAGGCATGGTAAGATTGAAGTGCAATTCTTATTTATGTTAACTCACGTTTGACTTGGTATAGCCGGACGTTCCGCTAATTGCCCGGGTCCGATAACTGGAAGACATTTAACTGGTAAAAGTGAAATTTGATTGGCAGATTCTGGTTATTGGCCCTCTGACTAACTTAGTAGAGTAAAAATACAAGCAATTAATTCACGCGCGATCTTTTGTAGCTGTTTGTTTCGTACCATCAAATAAACGTAACCCTTTTTACGTTCAGTCCTTAGTTGGTATGAAAATGGGTTAATTTTGCTCGTTAAACTCCAACTCAACTAGTTCCTGCTTTAAAATTTCCTCGAATTGATTTTGCTATCGCTACCGTCCACATGGACACCAACCTGAAATTGTGCTCAGCTTGTTGTTTTACCGCCCAAAATGACCCAGAGCCGGATGAACAGGGAGAGCTGCTGCTGGTGGACTCGACGGAAGTAAATCAAAGCAACTACTCTTTGAGCCCCTTCGTATATGGAGTCTTAGTGTGTATGGTCCTATACGGACCCACTTCACTGCATCCTTTTAGATTTAGCTACCATGTATCAGACATATCATCTACTGAAGGTTATCATTTTTAGGTCCTCTGTTCAGTTGTGTCCAGGGGTGAATGAATGCACTTTAAACTAATGATTAACTTTATTTCAGAGCCAGTAGCTTTTATAGCTGTGGTAACACTAGACAGGTTTGGGTGTTTATCAAACATGAAAGAACGTGCATCTCATTTGCGTTTAATTCTGGAAATTAAACTCTTATACACAAACGAAATATAGTGCCCATGATTATGATTTAATCTAATCATTAAAAAGGTGCATGCGCCAAGTTCTTAGCGAACAAAGACTTTCCAGGCGTTTCCAATATTTCCCTCAATTTTATTGTCGTCACAATCCAATCTGGCGCCATTGGTTTCATCATCCAATGATAATCATACTTTGAAATGCAGGGTGATTGAATAATCTGTCTTCATTTTCGCCGTGCCCCCATTTACCAACTTGTATAAATACCACCTTCTTTTCCCAATCTATGGCAAACTCCTGTTGACATTGAATTGTCATTCTCCATTCTAACAAACGAGCCATAGGCGTCGGGCTGGACATCCGTCTCACCGCTGAAGTACTGGACTACAGCTTCACCAGTGCTGCTAGCGACCATGGTTACGTGGAATGTACGTCCGTGTTTTTTACTGCAGTAGAATCTCAGCTGATTAACTTTATTTCAGAGCCAGTAGCTTGTATAGCTGTGATAACACTGGACGGGTTTGCGTGTTTATCAAAAGTGACCGAACGAGCATCTCGTTTGCGTTCAATTCTGGAAATTAAACTCTTGTACACAAACGAAATGTAGTGCCCATGATTACAATTTAGCTATCTATAAACAGATTCTCAATATCGTAAGTACAGTGTGCAAAGCATTTCGAGAAACCCATTTAGTTACGTGTAGTAGTGCATTATATAAGGTAATCTTAAACAGGTGCATGCACCAAGTTCTTAGCGAACAAACACTCTCCAGGCATCTCCGACTTGTCCTTCAACACCAATGTCGTCACACTCGAATCTCCCGGAACCAGTTTGTCTCATTATCCCATGATAATCATACTGCACAAATGCAGGGTGATTGAATAATCTGTCTTTATTTCGGCCGTACCCCCATTTACCAACTTGGAAATTAGCGCCTTCTTTTCCCCATCTATGGCAAAGTCTTGTTAACAGCGAGTTGTCATTCTCCATTCTAACAAACGAGCCACAGGCATCAGGCTGGACATCCGTCTGACCGCTGAAGTACTGGAGTACAGCTTCACCAGTGCTGTTGGCGACCGTGGTCACGTGGAACGTACGTCCGTGTTGTTTACTGCAGTAGAATCTCAGCTGAGTGAAAGACAAGTGTGATCTCAGATCAGCCATGGCGCTTTTCTCGAGAAACATTTTTTTGGTGTGACAACTGTCGATTGCACGGAATGATGACTCAACTGAGAACTGGAAGGGTGGAATTGAACTGTCAATCACCATGTTGGAAACAAGAAGCCAGCCTCCTGAAATCAGGAAACGGTCAGCGGTATAAACAAAAACACATATCAGTCAACTAAAGTTGGAGAGCAAGAACTCTGAAAATAAACCTTTATCTGGAGAGCCTACCTAGAATTAAAACAAATATAGATTAAAGCTACTTTGCTCTTTTCTTGAGAATGAGGCATTAGAATCGTAGATACATGAAACCGTTCACTGCCCTATAATCCGGGAATCCTATGTGATATGCCAACTGTATTTCCACTGCAATTTCCAAAAATCGAGAAGAGAGTTGAAAATACGACGCGTAGCAGAGTATTTTAGACGAACTTTGCGTCAAAAAATATCTATAACATATGACTACCTCAAGCCTCTAAATTCCAAAGCTCGGCCACGGGTAGGCATTA